ATAGATTTGGTAGTCTGTGCAAGGGTTGGTATGCCAAGTCAAACAGTTTAGTGGTAACCTTTACAGAGCTTAAAGTATGTTGGCGGTGGTTGCTTGCAAAGCAGACCGCCTAGGAACACCTTTGCTCTTTCGCTTTTTTTACAATTTTTCTTGTTTGGATGTTGGAGCGAACCGCCAACCTTCGTCACTAAACTGTTTTTAAGATATCAGATATAGTCAAAACTCTAAGACGATTGTGCTGGCACAGTGGAAGCTTGGTAAATTAAAATATCATTCTTTGATTGGACGTTTCCCCCTTCTTTGCAAATTTAAAAAATATGACCACCTTCAAACCGTTTTTCATGGAAAAAATTGGCAAACAGAAAAGCGTCATTCGAAAATTTTTAAAAGTGGCGAGAGTAATAATTTATGAAATGAACATTAGTTCTAAATACGCCAACAAACATACACATTCAGAAACACGCAGGTGTTTCAGATAAGCTACACTCAACCCCCCAACCTTCAAACCGACAACGAAACATATCGTTCAAATCGTCAATGAAAACGACACTCGCGGTTGAAAGTGACATCTGAAACGTTAAACAACATTAGCGTTGACCAGTAAATTGAAATTAGTACTGAGTTGAATATTAATGAAGTTTCAAGTTGAGTGAGAATAAATAACAATTAACACAAAGTTACCAAGATTAAACACTTTACCCTTAAATATCCTTCAAATCGTTCAACCAGCTGACTGATCAAAACCGGTATATCGGTCAAATGAGAAAGAAAAAGAGTTGAAACGATCGAATTTGAAACGTAATTAATTTTGTGATGTGAAAAATTGTAAAACTTTCTTTCTTATGAGATGAAAAATCATCATCTGGTTATCTCTTTAAAATCCTTTGATTCGGAGCTTCATTTTGCTAACTGATGAGCATTCCGTGATACAAAACATCTTTTGTTCTCCGACGAACATCTCTCCATATTGAAAATTTTGGCACCTCTATATAGACACACAACATTTGGCACCTCTATATAGAAACATAACATAACATTTGGCACCTCTATATAGAAGCAGCTCTATATAGAAACATAACATAACATTTGGCACCTCTATATATATAAACATAACATAAAATTTGGCACCTCTATATAGAAACACAATATTTGGCACCTCTATATAGAAACATAACATAACATTTGGCACCTCTATATAGAAACATAACATTTGGCACCTCTATATAGAAACTCAATATTTGGCACCTCTATATAGAAACACAATATTTGGCACCTCTATATAGAAACATAACATAACATTTGGCACCTCTATATAGAAACATAACAAACATAACATAACATTTGGCATCTCTATATAGAAACATAACATAACATTTGGCACCTCTATATAGAAACACAACATAACATTTGGCACCTCTATATAGAAACATAACATAACATTTGGCACCTCTAAGTAGAAACATAACATAATATTTGGCAGATTTGGCATCTCTATATAGAAACACAATATTTGGCACATCTATATAGAAACATAACATAACATTTGGCACCTCTATTTAGAAACATAATATTTGGCAACTCTATATAGAAACATAACATAACATTTGGCACCTCTATATAGAAACATAACATAACATTTGGCACCTCTAAATAGAAACATAACATAACATTTGGCAGATTTGGCACCTCTATATAGAAACACAATAAATGGCACCTCTATATAGAAACATAACATAACATTTGGCACCTCTATATGGAAACATAACATAACATTTGGCACCTCTATATAGAAACATAATATTTGGCACCTCTAAATAGAAACATAACATAACATTTGGCACATTGGGCACCTCTATCTAGAAACACAATATTTGGCACCTCTAATAGAAACATAACATAATATTGCAA